TCACTAGAGCCTTGCTTGATTGAATGGATCTGCAGAGACAGTTTCTGTAGCAACCCAGAACTTTGCCCAGCAAAATGTCGCCCAGTCACAGGTAACACAGAACCGTAATAAACATCTGCCTGGGTAGCTGCAGATGACACAGAAGTGCCAGAGTGAAATATATCTGGGTTTTGAGTCCTTCAATCTCCCAAGACCCACCAAGATGTCATTTCAGAAGGTGAGTTGGTGGCATGTCAACTCGGGTACCGGTAACAATCTAGCTGTGACAACACGGGGTTTCGAAAGATTACAGAAGCCTTTGTGGGAACTTGGCAAGTCTTTAGCACCAGGAGCACAAGCTGCTGTGGTCAGGCTCTTACGGGCAGCCCAGCTACTTAGAGTCAGTGTAAATAAAGATGTGGTTCCCAAAAGCCTACTGTCACATCTTTGGGTCTTATAGCCACATACCAAATACTGGGTTTGATAATATTGTCCAAAATATTTCAGAGATCTAGTTTTTATGCCATGGTATTTAGTGTAGATTGAGAAAGTCAGGAATATGTGGATTCAACAGTTCCTTCCCTATCTATCACTAGCCTTTGATCCTGGCTCGTTGCTGTTCGCAGTCTGTCTGCCTTCTTGTAAAGATGAACCCATCACAATGAAAATATTAGGGACATTACAAGCTGTCAAGACTATCTTGCAAAGCTCTGAAGGGCAGTATGGGTTAGTACATTTGTCTAGACGTACTAAACATATTTTTCAGTATGTCAGTATTTGAATTTTTCCTAATTATCAACCTATCAAATTACTTTTTACTAAATATATTTGGTTTGTCTTAAGAATTTCTGAGGCTGTGAAACCCAAACCGTATTAGGAAAGTTACAATATGCAGAATTTCCGAAGTACAGAAATGTTAGTAGATGGTTCCTTCGTCACGCATCTCCAATTCAGCCTTGTTCACCACCAGGCACTGGAAGAATAAACTGCAATTTTTTGTGCTTTCCCAAGTCTGTAACCCCAGTGTTTCCTACATTTCAACCTTACGAACAAAACTAGGCTCTCTGCATTCGGAGTAACCTAGGTGCTTAGCTCTAAATGGGAGATAATCCAGTTATAAAAAGCTTATGGTTACTTGGTCAGAGGTCACTAAAGTACAACTCTAAATGTGAATATAAGAGAGGGAAGCTGCATGAGACCTGTGTAACCTAGGCAAGGAGTAATCTGACTGGCAGGCAACGGAGGCCTGGTTTATATTTAAAAGTTTTGCTGATTTAGCAATACCAGGACTGTAACAACATTTGCCAATCAATACAGCTTCGCTGGCGAAAACCTGCAGATGTAGTTTCAACGGCAAGACATCCTTTGCAGTTCTGATATAAGCAACACATAGTTATTAAAGCAATTTAAATTGGATCCTGTCTCTAGGAGGGTTTACCAGCTCTTCTCCTGTAGCTACACTGGCAAACTTTCTAGTCGAGGCTGTTCTACAAATCAGCTACTGAGGAGTGCGAGGCTGATGACAGCTGAGTTGCTCTGGAGGCTTGACGAGAGCGTAAAGCTTTTCGCCCTTTGGGAGGAACCACAGAGAAACACTGTCTGCTTCGTTAAGTGAATCTCGGCTGGAGAACAAAGGACTTCAGCTCATGTACAGAGAGGTAATTTACATCTCATTAAACCCATATTTAAAACTCCACACTGTGTTTGTTTCTTTAGTGTCTGTGTTTTTCTTTTCCAAACATGTCAAAAAGGATGCATTTTCAATTTTTTTTTTTTTTTTTTACTTTTCCAGAATGAAAAGCAGCAAGAACATTTCTGGATGCCTAGAGATCCTTTTTTTCTATTTTTGCCTAGCTATAAAACAATTTAAAGGAATTTTATTAAACTTCCCAAGAAAATTCAGCTCAAGCATCAACACAAGTATGAGTATTTTCAAGTACAACTACAGATGTTTTGGAATGTAACAAATCCTTGAAAGCCTTCTTACCTTGATATATTTTCTCACATAGTACTATAATTTCACAACTATCCAGCAAAACTTCTTTAATTATCAGTTGCTGGTGGTTCTCAAGCCAAGTGTGCTACGTGTAGGTCTAGTCTAGGGGCTTTTCAGTGGGTTTTATACCAGCAAAACCCCTAGCTGCATCTGTAAAAAAAACCCAACCAACTTTAACTGACAGCTGTGTCAACTGGGGTAAGAAGAGGTGGGACGTAGTTGCACCAGAAGCATTTCTAACTATCGATTTCAGCAAAGCTATGCTTTTGATAGGAGGTGGTTTCAAGAACACATGTATGAAGCGTGCTTTTGGAGGCATAGATAAATCCACACTCTGCACATATTGCTGGTATGACATAATTCCTGTAATAATAAACAACTTTTCATCAGAGAGCCCAAGGACAGATTCAACGGGCGTTTCTGTGCCACTCTTCATGAGCTGTTTCAAGAATTGCTTAGAGCGCGGAGCGTTCCCACAACTCATCAGCGTGGGGGTCTCGCAGGCAACTTCTCGCTAACAGCCTGTAGACCTTGCTGAGGTACTTCTCGCTTCACACAAAGACCAGTAAAGACAGACTAGTAATACACTAAAACACTGGATCTGCTCAGGCACCTAGGGTGTACTTGGTCTCAGGGAGCCAAGTGTGTTCTGGGGGGTAGCAAACTGCTTTGCCTCGCATCAGGCTCAGTCCTTCGCCGATTAGTGAACAGCAGATCTGGTTTTGAGGGTGGCCTTGGACCACGTGACATCCTCATCAAGGCAGTTTTGCTCGTATTATTGGTTTTGCTCCTGTAATTAGTACGAACAAGCATTCTAACTTACAAATATAGTCATTTTGGGAGGAACTAGATTTCCCCACCCCCCTGTTTCTCCCCTAGGAGCAGAACAATATGTACTGTTTTTGCCAAACAAACTGGGTTTACATTATGGCTTGATTCCCGGTACATAATTAATATTCTTCATGGACAGCGTGTCTTCAAATAGCCGGCTAATATTTACACCCAGAAAAAGTCTTGCAGTCCCAGCTTCGGTCGGCCGGAGACAGAAACTTTTGTTTCATTTTCTTATCTTGTGGTGACACACTGTAAAGGCGAAGTGGTGTGTACAAAGTACGGCATTGCGAGGCTTACAGGAACAAATACGAACATACAATTCAATGGGCAAATAAAAGATGCTGTTGCGTTTCCTGTCCCCTCTTCCCTGTTTTGAAGGTCACATTTCTCAGAAAGGGGATACAAATATGAACGTGGAAACCAAAATACATTTTTACCAGGTAAAATGGCAAACAGCAATTTTTACCAGAAACTTGCCTGGTCCCCATTTTTGCGAACTTTCTGCTGTATTTGCAGAGTATATATATAAAATTTATGTATATAGAAAATAATTTGCGTTTTAAACATTATCTCACAGAATGTGTTTTTCAAAGTGTATTTTAATGAAGCATTCACCCATGGCCTGCTTTCAAATGCCGACAGCTAATAAGTAATATGCAGTGGGGGGGAAAGAACGGCTATACCTTGAAATGCTTTGGAAGTTAACTTCCAAGAGGCACCTTTGGGCAATCGCATGACCAAGAGGAGGTTTTGTTACTTTTGACCACTCTGGCTCTCTCCCACTGGCGTAGTGAAAGGGCGAAACGCTGCTCCTGGCTCTGTTCAGACCTAAAAACACCGGTGTGAGGGGTCAGCAGGGAAAAGGCGCAAGACAGGCGGGCACCAGGGAAGCAGGGAGGCCAGGGTCACTTGCCGAGGCAAACGACCTCCCATCAGGCAGGGAAAACCCTGTGTCCTGGATCAAGCGGCACCAAGCAGCGTGCTGGCAGCCCCGGGTCACACCGGCCCTCCCGGCTCCTTGCGGCTCAACCACCCCGGAAGGGGACAAGGCCG